ATTTCAGACTGCATGTCATTTCTCCTCTAGCAAATGTTTCGCCCGTTACTTATTTGGTATTGTTACACACAGCCAAGCAGCGCAATTTTTTTCCCCAAAAAAACCTCCCAGCCATTACCATGTTCCAAATCCTCCCTCCTGCATTTCTCAATACATCACCCAATTAACCACAAACTTGGCACCAGAGCAGAGTGATTGAAACGTGCGCTGATTCTGCCACGTCTCAGATGGGCATTATTTCACTGGAGGAACAGGAACAAGGGATAGAAAGGGCGTCAGAAATTTCCTTCCAAGGAACAGGACTCAAGGAACAGGATTTAAGGAATGCTATGACAGCCAAATTCTTGAGCCAGAAGTACATCAAGGGCCTTTCTTCTAGTATGTCACTAGGGGCATCACCCTGACCAGCACAAAATGCCAAAGCCTTCCTGCTGCAGGGAAGCAGGGATTGCTATGGGAGTGTATTGGCAGCAGTGCCCTGGCTTCTACATCCCTGTATTTCATCTTCTTGCAGAACCACCAAGCTCCTTCCCGTACACATCTCTGATCAGCTGGGGCGAGCAGAAACGTGTTCACAGTAGCTGGAGATTCTTCTCTGGATGCACATTTAACTACCATTATAAACAGAAAAGCACTCACTACTTTTAGGACAGAAACAAGTTCTACAGTGACCTGCACAGATAAACAAAATTTAACACTAAGACCTGATCACTAATTCCACTTCTGCTGAAGCCTGTGAGCTCCTTCACTTACTGCAAATCAGCTTGTGCTCAGGTACCATCAAACCCAACTAATAGATGCCAACAACTCCACCTATTTCTAATTCAGTAAGAGAGGCACTTCAGGATTTAAAAGCTACTCATTACTACCTAGTTTCTCGAGATTTTGTTACAGATTTTATAAGATCAGTGGTTTACCCTGAACAATTAGTCACAGCCTGCCACAGAACTAATACTCAATCCTTACTTTAATCATATATGATGCAATACCAGGATGAGATTTTAAAAAACAAACAACATGAGCAAGATTTGCCTTTAGATTTTCACTCCCCAGCTTGACGGTAACAAGTTCTGCTGTTCTGGTCAAAAGCAATAAGAAACTGTACTCTTTAGCGGTGTGTGTGCCTGTCCTAAAAAGCTACAATGACATTTTGAGACTTGTGTTTATTGTCAAAATAACTACAGATAGTTTGGTAAGTTTTCAAAGGATATTAACTTCTCCCAGTCATGCTGCAGATCCTGCTCAGATCTGAGACTCGAGCTGGACTTACTCATGCAATGCTGCTGCTGGTCTCAGAGACCAACTGCCTCCTCCAACACTCATCTATCCACACATATCCAGAAATATTAAGGAAGCTGTCAAGGAGAGCTGCATGCTGTGCCCACGGGAACACGACGCTCCTTTTCCTGTTCCCCAGCAAAACGTTGTTTTTCTGGTGAAGGTGATGGTGATATCAAAAACAAGCCAGGACCACAGAACAGCAGGTTACCTTCCCGCTGCTGAACTGATCCCGATCACACAACTGCTTCCAAACGGGAGATGCAGCTTTAACTCGAGGGCAGCAGCACTTCTCCAGTGATTTCATTTGCATTTATTGCCACAATATTCCCCGTTTGTGAGGATCTGTTTTCTCTGTGCGCTGCAATTCCCTCCCTGTCAGCTATCAGACATGGGGCCATCTTCACCCACGTGGCAAACTGAGGCAGAAATGCCGTGCCAATCCCACAGCTTCTTTAGGAAACACAGGCAACCTTTGCTAGAGAAAGGGGTTAATGTTCAGCTCTGTGCCTTGCAGGTACGGTCTCAAGTGAAGAGCCCCGTTTGATACCTGTAGGAAGCTGCCATTTTTGCATCTCATATTCCATTTGTGAACAGCCCTTTTTGTTCTTTAGTCCAAGTTCTGAATTATTTAATCCTGTCTCCAACACTTGAAATATCTCTCCCTATAAACAAGAGGTTATTTAGAGAAAGGAAATAAATAATTTAAAAAGTCAGACCCTAAAGTGTTCCTGGCTCTGTTTTTAATTAATATTGATACAATCTTGAGAAACCTGCTGCTTAATATTACAAGGCAGGTCGAAGCTCATCAACAGTTAAACGTCTCCTTTTAACAGAAGGTGGAAGAGGAAGTTGGGAGCTGCCGGGTGCCAGCGCTCCGGGACTGCCCAGTCCCAGCTCCTCACAACTTTCTCATGCACAAAAACGAGAGCTTCAAAGCCATTAGACCCTGAGCAACACAAGCTGCAGCTTACAGGGCTCAGGTGGAACCGTGTTAAGCATAAATCCTTCAGGTTTTTGTCCCGGGATAGAGTAGCGGAAACACAGATGTAAGTATTTTTATTTTCTGTAATTCCACGCTCAAAATCAGCTGGTACAAGTGAAGGACAGGGAGGGAGGGAGGCATGGACAGTTCTGTGGGACTGAACTTCATACCCAGTAACGATAGTTTTTATAGCATATTGCTTCATCTGCAAGTGGGAGTAAATATTACACTACCTCTTCATGCAGATGGGTGGGTAAGGAAAAAAAAAATTAAAAAAAAACCCAACAAAACCAAAAAGCTAATTTGAAACAAATTAACTATTCTGCATATGGATGAACGTACTTCTCTACCTCCCTGGTCAGTCCAGCACTCTGCAGACAGACTGTGTGCAAAGTTAATAAACTCTGTGCTGCACAGATTGCCTGGTGAACCTGCCAACAGGTGAACAGCCTCAATCCGCAACGGGTATAAATAATCACCAGTCCTCAAAAGCAGGTAATGAATATTGTTCAAACAACTCTAAGCTGGCGTTACCAGAACGCTTCAAAGGAGAAGCTACAAGCTGTTCAAGTCAGACTGTCACATTTAGTCTGCAAAAACGAGATTAAGGTTTGTACGGTGATACTCCACAACAGGTTTTACAGTATGCACAGAAATTAAATTATGATAAAAGTGAGCTATTTTTTACCAAAAACAGAAGAGAACAATCTATCAAAATGCCATTTGGCTGCGTTCATTACATTTTAGAATTTAATTTACATGATAGATATTTTAGCATAATATGTTTTAATCAATAAGCATTTCTGAAGGCTTTATTTTTATAGGCAGTATTTAGACTTGTTCACCCTTAAATGCAACACCACGGCAGTGATGTTTGGAGCATTTATTTTCCTATGCCAAGCAAGTACAACCACACATACACAGAGGCAAAAGCAGAAGTCCACAATTAGAGATGTCAGACCTTGTTTAACTACATCTTAATTTAATCCATTTTATTTTATACAATTCTACATCTGGATCTCATTTTCTGTATTCCTGTAGGTATTCTGGGTCACTATTAAGAACCCTTTCAAGTTAGCAAAGTTCAGCCAAGTCTACCTTAATCCCAAACCTTTAAAAGAAACAATAAAACACGGAAAGGGGGTTGAAGACGACTGAGAAGCCTAAACCAAAACGCTACTTTACCCCACCTCGTAATGCACCTGAAAGTCGGAAGGGACCAATCTCCTACCACAGATCCCACGCAGCACTTCCCGTTCTGGGGGCTGCCGGGGTGGGATTTTTTAGCACCGCTCCCGCAAGCCCGGCGCGGGGGAGGGGAGGGCGGCAGGACCCGCGTCCCGCTCGCAGCCCCCCGCGGGCATCCCCTCACCTGCAGCGGGGATGCGGCTCTGCCCAGCATCAGCGCACCATCCCTGCGCCCGCCGCAGGCTCCGGCCGGCTCCAACACCGCCTCCACGGGGGCCACGGTGGGCAAGCCGCCGGCTTTCGAGCCAATTTATTTAAACGGGAGGCAGCGGCGGGTTCGGAGAGGCAGGGCAGCGCCTTCCTGCGCCAATCAACTGGGAGACACGCGTGTTGCAATCCCATTCACGGCGGGAGCAGCACCAATTCAGCGTTTGACAACCTGCCCCCCACCCCCAACACACATTTCCCCCATAACCCGCCCCGGCCTTATCTGCACCCCGGCAACTCTGTGAAACCGTGAATCCCCCATCGCCCCAGGGCACGCACCCCCGGGGCAGGGGGGCAGGCCGCTCCGCCAGGACTTTCCCCCGGAGGAAAACGGCACTTCTGGGCTGTTCCGAGGCAGCACCAGCAGAAAGCATCGATATTCCGCTCATCCGTCAGCTCCTGGACAGCAGGAGAGGCTGGAGAGCCCGTGAATTATGTAACGTGCCCTCCCGCCGCCGCGGGGAGATGCGCTGCGATGCCCCGCCGGCCGGGACGCCCCTCCCCGCACCCGGCGCTGCCGCCGCTGCCCTCCGCAAATCCCCCGGCCCCGCTCCCGGCGCTCCCCCTTCCCAGCCCGCCGCTCCCTCCTCCCCGCGGGGTCCCCGGCGCGGTGCCCGCGGCGGTCGCAGGGCGGCGGCCGGAGCCCCCGCGCCCGGCGGAGCGGAGGCGAGGGCCGGACCCCGCGGGGAGCGCCCGCCCGCCCGGCCGGCACCACAGCGCCCCCAGCCCCCGCCGCTCCGCGCCGGCACCGCCAGCCCGCCCGGCGCCCCCACACACACAAAGTCCCAGCACTCGGTAAACTTTCCCCCGGCTTCCCGGCGAGGGAGAAGCGGCGGGGGGACGCGGCGGCGGGAAGCGGGGCAAGGCGGCGGGGAGGGAGGGGACGCACGGGAGGAGGCGGGCGGGGGATGAGCGGCGGCCGCCGGGAGTCCCGGCGCGCTCAGAGCCCCGCACGGCGCCGCCGGCGGGGAGCGCGGAGCGGGGAGAGCAGCCCGGGACGGAGCGGGCGAAGCGGCGGCGGCCCCGGCAGCGGCGGCTCCGGCGCCATCTTGGGCTGATCGATGAATTGAACAAAGAGGATCAATTTCCGATGGGGCCGGTGATCGATGGCGGGGGGCGGAGGGAGCGGAGCGCCGCGGCCGGGCGGAGCGGGGTTCCCTTTAGGCGGCGCGGGCCGGCAGCGGGAGGAGGAGGGGGAGGCCGGGCCCGAGGGAAGGCGGAGAAGGGAGGGAGGGGGGTCCGGCGGCGCGGCCCGGCCGGTGCGGCGAGCGGGGAGCCTGACCTGCAGCTGCTGTAAATCAAAGCGCTTCCAATATTGAAACATCGATCCCACATTGGCCGCCATCTTGAGACATATTGAGACAGAGTGAGCGGCTGATAGAGAGAGAGGGGCTGGAGTTCAGGAGCCGGGAGGGAGGGGAGAGGGAGGGAGGGGAGGGAGGGAGGGAGCCGGCGGGAGGGGGAGGAGGGGCGGGGGGCAAGGGGAGGGAGGCCGGCAGGGAGCGCCCAAATCCCGGCCTGGAGCCCGCCCGGAACACGGACTCAGCCCGCGCGCTCGCGGGGGAAGGGCGCTGCGCCCGCGCGCTCGCAGCGACCCCGCAGCACCCCCGGCCCGCACCCGGGGGCACCCGCGGGCAGGGCGGGCGTGGGACCCGCGGGGGCGGCGCGGGGTCCGGGCGGCGCGGGGGATGCGGGGACAGCGGGGCGATGCGCCAGCGGGCAGTGCGCGGGGATGCGGGGCCGAGCCGATGCGGCAGTGCGGGGATGCGGGGCCGGCGATGCGGACAGTGCGGGGGGATGGGCCAGGGATGCGACAGTGCGGGGATGTGGGCCGGGCGATGGGGATGCGGGGGCAGCCGAGCGGTGCGGGGGACGCGGGGACAGCCGAGCGGCGCGGGGCCGGGGGGATGCGGGGCAGTGCGGGAGCGGGCGGTGCGGGGGGAAGCGGAGCCCCCGCGGGCGCGGTGCGGGCTCAGGGCAGCGCATCGCCCCGCAAATGGTGCCCGGGGCGCAGGGGGGGCGAGTGAGCCCGCTCGGGGAGCGACGGGGCTAAAATTAGCCAAGTGCGGAGAGTTTCGGGGAAACAACAATGAAAAAGTGCATCGGGGGCAGCCGGTTCGCGGTGTCCGGGGCGGTCCGAGGGCGCCTGGAACGGGATTTCTTTGGCGCGGACAGGCGCTCCCTGCCAGGGCCGGTGCCGCTGCCGACGGGGGACGGCTCGCACGGAGGGTTGGAAAATCGGATCCCAGCCCCGCGCAGGATATCCATAGAAACGGAGATTAAAAGGATGAAATAAGTTATTTTGTTCTAAACAATAATGTTGCTATAAATACGAGCGTTTTCCTTGTTCCCTTCCTGAAAAGCGCAGGGCATTTTAGCAGGCTCATCTCCTGACGAAACAAACCAGTGTACGCAGCCAGGCTGCAGATACCTTGCCCCCCGCGAAAGCATTCCTTGTTTTTACTGGGAAATGGGCAAAACTGCGGTCTGTACCTGTCCCCTCTGGAATCAATAAGCCGCACGGTATTTTTCCAAATACAGCTACTTTCGCTGTTTTGCACTTCATCTGTAAAAGGGAAATATATCTTCCCCCCCTAAGTGAGTGATTGTAGATTATTTCTCAAATTGTATTTGATCACCGAGTGAATTTAGTGCTCGCTCAAGTCCGTGGGCTGACTGCTTGGAAATGGCTCTGTCTGTCTTTGGAGAAGTTACAGCAGACACAGCGGCAGAGCAATTGCCACAGATTATTTCCCAATCTGCTGCCGGCCTCCTTTGGAAGAGCACCATCAATTCAGCCTCCATTTCCACTTTTTGCTGAGGCTGCTGCTTACAAAGATACTAATTGCGATGGCGGGTTTTATGTTAATGGGTTCCACGTAATGATCAGCCCGACAACTGCAGACCTTCGGATTGTTAGTTGGCTGCACTGGGAATAAAACTAATGGCATTTGGTTATGAAAGTGCCACCCTCCACCTGGTGATGTGGACTGGGGGCCCAAGGAGACCGAAATCCAAGAGCCATGGCTGCCGTGGGGCTGGACCCAGGGATGCCTTTGGAGAAGGAAACTCCTTTTTCTCCAGAAGTGCCACGCTTTGAGGGAGGGCAGCTCTGTGCTGGGGTGACGATGGGGAGGTGTGGGGTCCTGGCTGGGGTCCCCCCTGCTCCAGGGAGAGAGTTTGGGGTGCTGTGGAGAGACAGCATCTGTGGGGATGGAGCTGCGCGAGCCTCCGAATTCTGACTAACACCGTAACCGGTTTGGTAGCTCTAAAATAGGATTTTAATCCTGGGAAGCATCATTTCACATTCCAGTGATCTAATCAAAATCCTTTCCTCTAATCTCTCCATGGTCCCCCCTTTCTAGATGAAAGAGGCTGGAGTTCCTGTCTTCACCCTTTCTCCGCTGCCTCCCTGTTCTACCAGTCTGTTCTGTGTCCAGGCAACTGCAAAAAGACATTTCAAAGGCTCCTGCCGTGCCATGTAGATGTTTTCTCTTGTTAGTTTGGACTGCAGGTGTGTGAGCCTCGAGGATGAAGTATCGTGGTGCTTGTTTTAGGTTCGGGGCACACAGTCACGGCACAATAAATCACACGGTAATGCTCCGCTTTGAACACGCGCGCACGGAAAAGGGGAAAGAAAAAAGCATCTGACCTGAATCATTTTCTGGAAACACATCTGGTTAAAATCCAAAGTTTTAAATTGAGTAATATTTTAAAATACATTTGGTAGGTATTACATTACAGTGTTATATCTGGTAATATTTATGATACTAATGTGTTAAGCGGAGGTTTATATCTGTCAAGAAATATGAATGATTGTCATATGGGCTAACAAATGTATCCTGATATAAATAACATTTTATGATATTTTTAACATTATTGTAGTCTCTTTTTTTTTTGCAGAACTTACATTATTGCCAATTTGAAATAAAAGCTCTGTGGCTACATACCAAAGCTTTTAGCTATATAATTTTGAATAAGTATAAGCTGATTTTGGGAAGTGCTGAGAAACCTTAACTGTGCCGGGAGACAAACGCTGAGCACCTGTAATTCCTATTGTTTCCGTGCAGGCTCAAGTCCCTTATTTGCCATTTTGTGTGGCAGCAAGCCCAAGGAAATCTTGTTTGACAGCTCAGTTTTCTCAAAGTGCTGTATCTCTTCGGGCTGGATTCTGCAAAGATCCTGCAGGCTACAGAGCTCCTCGGAGCAAGTGGTACTGTGCTTTGTGTTCCTGCTGAAACGCGCCTGTGTAAGATGGGAGGGGGGGTCTTGGAAAATTCGGTGCATCGTGGCAAGAAGACGGTTTGAATAAAGTTTTCTTGGATTATTATGTTTTGAGAAATCATTCTCATCTGGTCATTTGAGGAAGGATTTCCTAAGGTTAGATTTGATCTGTGTAAATGCTAACTTCTTTCAACAGGCACTAATAGAGTACTGAGAAAGGAAGCACAGTGGATTTGAAGTTTAAATCTAAAGTGATGGTAGTGACTAATGGTACTTCAGTAACACTTGCTGCATCCAGAATATTTGTAAGTACATTGTACAGATTGCTTTTTAGAAACTAGGCAAAAGTCAGATTAAAATTTGTTACCTATTAATGTCATAAAATATCATTAATACAGATCTTTAATGAATATGTTTGCACGTGGGGCCATCACTGGCAGTTGGTCTTGTTGTGCTTCACGTGTCATCATCCAGAACACTGAAGAAAATGGACCCTTATTCCAAGCATCCCAAACTGGTTTGAACAGTTCCTTACACAGCTGCTCCCCTGGGTGGAAGTCTGCATTCATGAAGATATTTTGGACCAGGAGTCCAGTTTTGATCACTGGACTTGGGCTTCTCTTTGCCTTAATCAATCTGGTTTATTCCCTTGTCCAGGACACTGAAAGAAGAGGTGTTGCTTCTCCCAGCAGCTAAAATTCTGAGTCTCTTCTCCATGGATTCTTTTTCTTATTCTTCTCCTCATTTTCACTTTAACTGATTCCCACATTTCTATCAGTTCCCATAAAAGAGTTCCCCTACAGCCTTCTCTGTACCTCTGTGTGCTCCTTGTCCAGCTCCCTCCCTCCTTGCTTCCATGACTCTCATCTTTCTTCAGCTGCTTCTTGTCCCCATCTACCTGGCTCCACATGGCTGTGGCTGCTGGAAAGCAACTCCTCATTCCAAAATCTCGCCCCTCTCCACTGTGCAAGTGTCATTCTGCTCATTCTTGAACTGGATCTGAGAGCACAGCTCCATCTATCCTGTGCCATTGCACAGTGAGACTCTGCAGGGATGGCAGAGAACAGAGGCAGCCAAACAGATAATTTATGTTCCTGGGAGATTTAGCCCATATTAAGATCAAAACTCATATATGTCTTCCAAATCACTGATTTTTTTTTTTTCCCCCCCAATTATTGTCACTGAATCCAATTCTGCTTGATTTATGTGTGGTGTAGTAGCCAGAGGTTTAGCAGCATGTAAATTGCCAGAGGATTTGGCTGGTGATGTGGACACGGTGACATGCAGAAGCTCAGGAAAGCCCCTGAGCAGAAAATGGTTGGAAGCTGGGAGAGTAGCAGGGACGAGTATCCCATGTGCCTGCCCACGATTACCTGGGTGTCCAGCTGTGGTCACTCAGCTGGATGGACCCTTGTTCTCAGCCAACATGGCAATTCTCACATCCTTTGGGAATTTGGGATAGTTTTAGCACAAACCATGTAGATGGCAGGATACATGACCTAAGCATGAAATCCAAGGATTTCTGTACCCTGTGAGTACCGCACAGCCGCAGATACACACTGGTAGGTGGAAGAGGAGAAAGCAATTCTCACAGAGGGCAGGGAAAACAGCCACAATTGAAAGCAAAGTAAATTTGGGTGGTGTGGTTACTTGCTGTTTAACTCTGAGGACATTTATAATATCCAGCATAACCCACAACAGATCTACCTGTGAGGGTTTGTGGATTAACCCCTACCAACACAAACCTGTGATGGCACTGGGGGGGAATCTCTGCCATGGACAGCGGGAGTTGTTGAAGACCCCAAAAGAACTCCCACACTGAATGTGTTTGCAACATTTCTGTCAAATTGCTGCTTTTCTCAGGGTGTATTCCATCCAGATGCCTGGTGGTGCTTTGGCCAGCACCAGTGGCAGCAGTGCCATGGGCAGGCAGGGGAGTTGGAGAAGAAAGGGACCGATCAGGTTATCCATTCCCTGCAGCTGGCAGTGATACCAGTTTGATATTGAGTTTATCTCAGGGTATGGTTCACACCAGATTTAATTTGTAAGCACTGTCCTCACCTTCTTATCCTTTCTCCCATGCACAGGATGGTGTCCAAGCTGGGATTTTTGCTTGGATGGGAGGTGAGTCCTTTTTGACTGGTCTCACCCTCCTTCCAGCTCTCTTTTCTCCAGCTCAGGCTGTTCTGTTGATTTGGGAATTTATCTTCCCTGTCCTTTAAAGGGATCAGAAGACAAGTTAGTAGGTTATGTTCCCCAGCAAAATTCCCACCTTTTTTCTCACTTGGAACCTTTCACATATTTTTACCTTTTACTGTTTTCTTGAACTCCCACCCACTTCATGCAGCCACTTCCTCACTTCAGGTTCCTGCTCTTCCCATCTCTCCCTCCCTGCTCAGATCCATTTTGGCTCTGTGTTCTCCACCACTTACTGTCCCAGCCAAGTATTTCTCCCAGTTTCTGCTCAATCTTCAGGTCTAATATTCCATATATTACTTAAGAAAAAGAAGCTGAACCCATCATTATTAGTTTAAATCCCTTTTTATGTTTTGAAGCTCACCTGTGCTGGTTATATTTCTCTGTGCTGCTCACCCCATGGCAGGAGAGCTGGTTTGGTGACTGTGGCTGGGGATGGGAGCTGCAGTCGGATGCTGTCACAGGGCTCTTCATGGCATGAAACAACTCACTGGATCCTCCCTCAGTTCCTCCATTCTCTACAGCACCAGTGGGCACTGGGAGATCCAAACCTCGTGGCGACTGCTGGGGTTGCAGAACAGGGAAATTGCAAGGAGGAGGTGGAGGGAAATGTACAACTAAAGCAGCTCAGAGCTGCTCCCTCACCTCCAGTTCCCCTTTCGCTCCCTGCCAGGCAGGGCCCATACACTGAGTGCAAAGCCTTGGAGAAAGAAAAAGAAAGGTTTTCCTTTCGCTTTCCAATCCCAAACCCTTCATGTGGGATGGAAGGAGGGAGCATCCCTCTGCTCCTTTCCTCCAGCTGGGCTTTCTGGTGCCCTTCTCCCAGCCCCCGTGGGTGCTGGCGGTCCCCAGGGTGCTCAGCCTGGCTCTGGCACGCGGTGCCAAGGGCAGAGGCGGCTGTGCCTGGGCCCTGTTGTGACACGCAGGGAGGGGAGGGGAGAGGCAGAGGGTGGAAGGATGGGGAGATCCCGGGACAGCCCAGCTAACCCCAACCCCTGAGCACAGTGTTCCAGTCTCCAGGGAGCCGCAGAGCGCCCGGGAAGCCTGGGCTGGAGTGTTTCGGATGTTTGAGGTGGCTTTTCTGCCAGTAACGAGTGTGAGACGGCGTTTTGGGAAGCGCATCTTTTCTTAGAAACACAACTGTGACTGACTTAGCACAACTGTGATTTTCTGCAAACACAACTGTGTTTGGGGTTGTTGCATGTGAATGCTCGGGAAGGAGAAACAGTAATTCTGGATTAATGCAGAAAGAGAGAAAACAGACACCCTTAGAGGAAGCCCTAAGTTCACTGCAGCTGCCACACTCTGGCAAATCCAGTGCTGCATCCCACAGGAAATATTTCAGTGTGGAGAACCTCCTATTTGAAGGGATATACCAGGTGCCTGTCATGACACACACAAATGAACCAAAGTGCTTGGGGTAGCACATCAATCCAGTGTTTCTTCAGTAGCATATATGAAATAAATTGGTTCTTTTTCCCCTGGTGTTGCATCATTTCCTATTTGGTGTCTGGCTGGTGACAGATTATCAAATAGGGGAGAAAAAAAAATCCATATAATTTTTTACAATGAAACATTACCTTCTTCTTTGGATAAAGAGATCCAGTCTTACTCTGGCCATGATTCTCCACATTTATGTGCTGGCCTTGTCTGCATCTGCTTGGCATTATCCTGGATTGGGGCTTTAACCTGCTACGAATCCAAAGAAATTATACGGAATTGATGGGATCACTATGAAATTCCAGGGGTGTAGGCTGGTGCAGACCATATCCTATTAATCTTGTTGTGTTCTTTCTGTAAATAACAAGCTGGATTTGGCCCAACAAGAGTAAAACAAATTGAAAGCATCCATAAAGAGGAGAAAATGGGTTTAAGATGTAAGAGTAAAGTATTGGTGGGTTGTCTCCAAGAATCCAGTTTTTAAAAGTACCAAAGCACATACAAAACTTTAGTTTAATATGTTTTAAAGTGCCTGCTGCGTGGGGCTGGCTGCTGAACCAGGACCATCAGCACAAGACCTGCTTTCATGGAAGGATTAAATAAATAAAAATAAATTAAAAACTGCAAGAAGGAGAAAAATGTTCAAGGGCAGCCAACCTGGAGGAAACAAATATAATTTAGTTATGTGAAGTGTTTGTAAATGTAGTTTATGAACATGTATGAAAAAGTAATTTTTTACTTTTCAGACTGCAATTGTCACACAGAAAAGAAACAACGGCTTATTTGTCCTTTTCAAGGATTGGTAGAGAATACATTGCAGTTTGGCTGTTTATTTTGACTGCTTTTTCCTTTTTAATAGCTTATTATTCTGTTGATTATTCCAGATTAGCTCTTTTTGTGTGCTCTCCCTTATTTGTGATTGATAGGGAAACATTCACTTGGTTTGCCTGAAAGTGGGAATTGATTTTAAATTTTGTTTCAAGTTTCAGACTTTCTTTTCACATACATGGGCTA